ATTTTGTATATACACGGTTTCGATGGTTTTGGTTCCCTTATCATTGCTATTTTAAAAATAATATTTTGGTGGTTTTTGGTCAGTTAATGGACCTGACCTGATCTGGCTTGACCTGACCTGGCCTTTTTTTGTTTTTTACAGAGAAGGACGGAAATCTTTTAAAATACACCCAGAACATTGATGTCTAGGCGTGTTGTATTCGAGCCAATCTCCATGTCTACCAATAAAAACCTTTTCTCTTCTGCTTCTAGGACACTCCCTGGAACTATTTATCGAGTCTGATCTCAACTTTCTCTTTAACGTTTCATCTGATGTATTTCTTGTCATCTATTCCATTGTTTTTCGGACAAGAACATAGCTTTTATTAAGTTGTCTAGTTGCAAATTTATTCAATGTATTCTTCTAGATTATTCTTCCATTCAGAATACTTATCACATGTAAAAACCGTATGTTCAATATCGTTTTCTTCCTCGCATTACATACAGATCGTCGTCTTCCTCATCTTTATTTTTTCGGAGACATTTTTCACTCAGTCACTACATTTCTTGAGGTTACTTAGTATTTTCGTCTCTACTCTACATCTTCCTGAAATTCTAGACCCATCGCGGCATCAATTCATCATATAGTATATTCCATAAGTTCGGTTCAAAGACCCCGCACCGATGCTAATTTGTGTTTTATTGTCAAGCTTTGTCTTTGTACTATGGAACAATTATGTCCCAGCACTTCGAACATTGAGCATTTATCAGAGCACAGCAAACTTTTCTGTTTCTAGCAATTTCAACAGTTGGATGAACTGCACCAATTATCGTCAGCCCTTTCCTAAAAGCGTATTGGTTTGTACTGAGGCCCCCTTTCTCTTCTAGCTCTATTGTCAATTGCTACAGCAATATGTTTTCATCAATTTTGAATAAAATACACAATAATAAACACATGGGTCTATAGGTCAGGTTTTTTTTTCTGTGGAAGGGGAAACCCTCATGGGCACCAGAGACTTAGGTTCGATCATCTCTGGTAGTGCCTGGACTCTTACCGGCTAAAACCCCTTCCTCGACCAGGTGTTCTCTAACCCCTCGGAACCGCTTTAGCATTACTCCAAGGGGGGATGCTAACCCGACCTAACCTGACCTGACCTAACCTGGCACTGCTTGACCTGGCCTAACCTGATCTGACCTGACCTGACCTAACCTGACTTTTCTTTTAACTCCTGTAGGCGAAAAAATTTTCAAAAGGGTCCCCTCGCGAAGATACGATATTCTGTTATGTGGGGGACTCTGCGATTTTTACCGCACTAAAACCCCTCCGCGTGCGTCTCTCCCTCTAGGAGCCTACCGCGGAAACACTTGGGACATATCATCGTAGTGGGCATCGGGTCGCCTCGCCATCATATCTCTTGTCCTTCTCCCTTTACCTTCTGCCTCATTATCTTCCCTATCATATCCTTAATATCTGCCCACCTCCGTTCTTTGACGACTTTACTAAAATTGTCTGGTACAAGTCAACAAATCCTCCGAAGTCTATCTATCCCTCCACAGTACTTTCATGTCTCTTCGTGAACTTTCCCTATTCTTTTTAAGTACGCACCAAAAGAACCATGGCTCGTTAAAAATTGGGTGACACAATGGTCTGTCCTTCCTTCTCCTCTCTCGATTCAGTCCTACATCGTAGGGATCAACCTCTTCCTCCAGGCCCTGACCGTCGCATTTTGCCATCTCTCCTGCTAGCTTTCTATCATTTTGCATTTTTCCTCTCTTATTTGTTGTCCCCTACTTCGACATATGTTCGTCCTCATAATCATGAGGAGCTCTATCGGTGACGTGCCTGTAATAACCGACAGCGCTCCGCTCGATACGAACATTCCGATACACTCAGGCTACCTGAAGTAGCGCTTTCCTGTGACACCTTTCCATTAACATTCTGTACTTTTTGATCTTTTTCTCTACTCTGCACTGCACAGCCCCCTACCCTTATCTCCACTGATTTCAGCTTTCCGCGTCCAACTGTTACGACAATCCCCGTTTTCTCCATCCCCTGCTCATCCATCCACCCGATCTACCAACTCGTTTGCCGCTTCTACTAATCTCCCTACCAGGTCGTCGACGTACGCTATCATCTCCGTCTCACGTGGCATCCTTAACCTCAATATTCTATCATAGAATAAGTTCAGAGTAGGGGACCCAACACGGAGCCCTGAGGAACACCCCCACCCGGTACCATTTCGCTTCGCTCTTCTCCAACGACCAATATCCTGTTCTTTAAGTGATTTTCAGCCACCCTAATTAGGTATCCCGATACCCCACGTCTCTCTAAAGCCTTAATTATCCTATCCCCTGGCCCCAACTTAAAAGCGTTCCTAACGTCGAAATTGATCATGACACTGACTTTATTAGACTTATAGTTACCACCGGATCTGTGGTCGACTTGTGTTTCCTGAACCCTATTCAGGAATATCTCCGGTCGGTCCCTCCTTTCTAGCTTTTTCCTTGTCATTTTCGTCTCAACTCGGGAACAATTCTCTCTATCAATCAATCTCTATTTGCTCTTACGTATCTAGGTATCCTTTTCTTTTACTCCCAAATGTCTTTGTAACAATCTGGTATGCCTTCCTCCATATATCATTTTCTAGTTCTCTCCCCAATGGCTTCTACGCTTTCTCCTTCGCCTCCTTAATCATTCTTCCTAGTTTTTCTTAGCCATTACTTGTTCCCCCATCAGATCTCTTACTGTTTCGTTATTTTCCTTTGTATTGCGATACATTTTCTTCTCTGCTGAGCTACGTTTGTTTTCCACCAGTATTTGTTTGGTTGTCTTTGTGCCGAATTTTTGAAAGGTGCTATCACAGGCGTCTTCTATTAATCTTTCTAGATCTTCCGATGTCCTTACTTCCTCTGTCCGTCTGTTCCAGAGTGTAACATGTATGTTCACCGGCAAGGTCCGTAACTCTTCCTTCGTAATTTTCCAGCTTCTCGTCTCTTCAGTCTGCTTCTTCTCGTGAATTTATTGCCCTGGTTCGCCACGATCATTCCTCTTAACGAGATCAATTCTTCAAGCACTTCTCCATTTTACCGATATACTTGGCATCCCATATAGTAGACATCACATTGAAGTCCCCGCCCACTACGAATCGTCTCTTCCTACTAATCACCTTCTCTTCCAATTCATTGAGGCATTCTCGATATATCTCAAACTCTACATTGAGTTTGGTGACGTAACCTGACCTGACCCGATCCGACCCGACCATAACAATAGAATCTACAAAGAAATTTTGCCTACTGAAAAATGATAAGTGGAGTTCCGATTCTCTGATTAATTGTTATTATTGATAGTAATTGTAGGTTATACTAATATTAACGTTTACCAATTGTTGACTAAATCAACACCCGGAGGCATTAAGAGCTTTGAATGAAATTTAAGACACCAGATTGGTTAAATATGCTGCCTGAACAAGGAAATCATCAAAATAACAAGGGAATTTCACGTAGTTAGGGAGTTCTGCTTATTCATTTCCGAAACCGTAACAACATAGAGCTTATCCTGTTTGGAGGGTTCTCCCAAAGCACGAATCCTTGTTGTTTTCATCTTTCCCTATAAATTCATAGCAAGTTTGTCTCATACTGGGATGACACACGACATCGACCCATCATACTCTTCCAAGAACTTGTAACTACTTCGAAGATACCAGCACTAGTACTGGCAACATTTATACCTTTTTTTTTCATAACAAGTGAATTTTCCGCTGTTACATTTTCAACAAAATTAAGTGTTAATTGATTAAATTAAACTATGTACATAAAAACAACAAGAAGAGTATTAGCAACTTTATCATTTATAAACTACAGTATTTTACGACTATTATCATAGTGTTTTATTTTACACTGTAGATATGCATAAATTTCCTACGAAAGATAAAATTCCTGCACCAACTACGTACTTCGTGTGGATATTAAACAAATTTGTCAAAAGGCACAAAGTTATCCCTCTGCTTAGTCCAGCCCGCTGCACATAAAACTCGCAAACTTGAAACGGTTATGTTGCTAATCAGCATAAAATTTTAATTGCTTACAGTCATCAACACAAAGACTTGGAGCAATATGGCAAAGTAGCAAGATGTTGAAAGTATTTGTTTCAGTTTGAAACGACAGCCTTCACAAATTACGCCGACAAACAAATGAATGGACATTTATCTTTGGAACTTATCGTGACGAAACAAAGAAATGGAGATGACAAGACAGCAAACAACCCTCTAAAAAATTTAAAGCCCAAAATTGTTTTACTTTTTTAAGATGGCATTTTAAACACTAAAACGAAAACGAAATTTATACACTGGTTCGTTTTGGAAGGACTTCGCGTTTAACGTGCCAACAGCTTGTCGCTCATTAAAACGCGAATTCGTGCGGGAATCAGTATTGTGATAAAAGTTATTCTGGCTAAATCCCGGCTGATTATTCCGGCTATCAGTTCCTTCGGTGTATTTGTTATTCAATGCGATACCTACCTCGTTGACTGTAAGCTGTAATTAGTGTTAATAGAGCAATTCAGTTTAGCAGACAAGGCTTAGTGGGAACATCGTTACTGAATGGTTGCTTAAGTGCAAAAGGAAGCAACGTTTAAACATGCGGTGCTTATCATTACCAACAGACTAACTTGACTTTGTTGCCGATAAGCGACATTTCTCATCAGATAAAACTGCTCTTACGACACTACACAAACGTAATCGTCTTCCTTGATCGATTCACCCGGCGCCTCCACCAAATTAATTAACTCAAAAACACGCCAGACCGTAATAATTTTTTTCGTCGAAGCCTTTTACTTTATTAATAAACGCATTTATATCTCCACAAGTACCCCGAACGTGTCACGCAACACTTACGTCGCTCTAATAATACACCCGAATTTAAATAGCCCATTAAGCTAAATCAAAAGAAAAACAAGCTCCGACCTATTAACTTAAATGGCACATAGTTGTCGTTTATTGAGCTATATTTTGTTCTCTTTTTCAGGGAAACTCAAGAAAAAAGTACGTCCTCTTGGTAATTTCGTTGGCGGGAATAAAAGTATGCAGTCCAGACGGCAAGGTAAGGACGATGATTTATTATTTCATAAGTTTCATAACGTTGTAGTGATGTCGCGTTTTATGAATAATACGACGTTTTCTCTATGACAGTCACATTTTTTACTGGATTTTATTTCAATTTATGGCTGGAGCGTCGTGCCGCGGGCTTGTAAATTTTTTAATAACAATTATCTCAGATGAGAGACCCAAAAACAGAAAAAATATTTTGAAGTGGCAGTTTTATTCAATTTATTGCTACAGTTGTCCGTGTATTTGTAATTTTATACCGCAATTTTCTGCGATTTAAGTGTGCCGCTTCCGCAACTGTGGTACTTTGCCGCGCATTATGCAACTCCACTTGGTGATCTGTGCTAGAGTGAGAGTTGTAGTCTAAGCAATGTCGGTTATTAAAAATCTACCGATTTTTGAAAAAGTGAATACTGTGATATAATTTTATTATAATTCAGTTTAGTATGAATTTTAATATATAAAAATATGGAAGTGGAATGAACAAAATTTCATTATAATTTGTCTAAAACTCATGTATCAACATCTTCAGAAATTACGTTACCCCATGTGACAATTATAATATTTTTTTAATTATAAATAGTAAAATTTTGCTTCGTACAGATTCAAATATCCCAAAATTGACAGAATTGAATATTTTGATTTTAGAATCTAAAAGATTCCGTTCTTGTAACAATTAAAAAATTTTAAATTACAAAAATTCAAAGCAAAATAAAGTAAGAGGCAACAAAAGAGAGCAATTAAGGAAAAATGGTTACAATGGGATATGGAAATTTTGAATGCAATGAAGAAGAGGGCAGACTCAAGAAGGTAGAAAATTTTTAGTAAAGAGCCAAAATAAAAGGAAGAAAAGGAGGAGAAATGGAAGGAAACAAGACAAAAGAAAAAGAAAATGAATAAAGGATGCAGATAGGGAAATCAGAAAAAGGGCAGCTGGTACAAAATTAAGAGAAAAAGGGGTGAAGGTACTGTTTTGGAGTGTCCAAGGGTTGCGAAAAAAGGAAAAGGAGTTCTAGGAAAATTTGATGTGATGGGGCTAGTAGAGACATGGGTACAAAGATAAGTTTGAAGAGACACTACCACAAGAATATGGATGAGAGTGTCAAGAGGCTACAAAGGAAAATAAAACAGGGAGAGCAAGCGGGGGAATACTAATGGGAATTCGAAAGGAAATGCAAGAATTGGAAAAGGGAAGTAATAATAAAAACGGACCAATAAAGAATGTAACACAGGTAGATAATAATCGATGGGAAATAATAATCGTTTATTACGACTGGGCGACGAGGGGACAAGAATAATAGATAAAGAAAAGGGAGAGAAAAATAGAATCAAACGACAAAACAAATAACAAATAAGGGAAAATATTGTAGAAGATAATAGAAGAAATGGGATGGAAAATTTTGAATGGAAACAAGGAAGGAGATGAAGAAGGAGAATGGACGTACGTAGGGGCTAGACGAGAATCAATTCTAGACTATGCGATTGTCGACTAAGAAGCGTGGGAAGAAATAGAGAGTTTCAAAGCGGGGGAAAGGGTAGAATCAGACCACATGCCACTAGAAATAAAAATCAAAGCAAAAGAGCAAGAGTACGGAAAACAAGAGAGAAGAAACGAAAAAAAAATAGAAAAAAGAATATAGGATGAACAGGGAATTCAAAGATATAGAAGCAGGCTAGAAAATAAGAAATTCGAAGTAAAATATAATATAGAAGCTATGATACCAGAATTGATCAACTTAATTGTAGAAGCTATGGAAGAAAGGAAGATATACATATGACAAGGGAGGAATAACGGATGGAACGGAGAATGTAGTGAGTTGAAGAGAAAAGCAAGGTAAAAATTAAGAAAATGGAAGGATAACAGGGGAAGGAAAGAAGAGTACTTAAAAGCAAGAGAGAATTATAGGAGAAAATATGAAGAAAGAAAAAGAGAAAAACGAGAAGAAGAAAAGACAATAAAGTCCCTGAAAACAGAAGAAGAAGTATGGAGATATATAAACAAGGAACTGAGAACGAAGACCGAAGCCAGTAGAAAAGTCAAAATACATAAATGAAGATACTGTATGGAATTATTGGGAGGTTGTTAGGAAAAATGCTGCAAAATAAATAAAAGACTCACAACGACGGAAGAAATGTGGAGAGGTTCGGAAATAACAGAAGATGAAATGGTAAGACAGATTGAATGACTGAAAAGTGGAAAGGCACCAGGAGGGGATGGAATCCAGAACGAAGCGTGAATGAGTGAAAGAAAGGATATGGGAAGTGGTAGATGAAGTTGATGTAGTACCCGCTCTGATAAGGCTGATTTTGGCAAATGACATATCCTCTAAGAAAAGAGAGAATGACTTATGCTAAGATATGAGTGATTTTGGCAAGTCATATAGCCTCTAAAAAAAGGGAGGGTGGGTGGGCGGGGCTAGCTGTTAAGATTAAACTGATTTTGGCAAATGAGATACCCTCTAGGAAAAGAGAAGCCCGGTAGGCATTGGCTTTTCTTAGAGGCTATATAATTTGCCAAAATCAGCCTTATCTTAACAGCTACTAGCCCCGCCCACCCCCCTCTCTTTTCTTAAAGGCTATATGACTTGCCAAAATCACTCATATCTTAGCATAAGTCATCTTCTCTTTCCTTAGAGGATATGTCATTTGTCAAAATCAGCCTTATCATAGCAGGTACTACCTCGCCCACCCACCTTCTCTTTTCGTAATGGGTATCTCATTTGCCAAAATTACTCTTGTAGCAGGTACTAACCCTGCCCATTCAGCCTCCCTTTTCTTAGAGGATATCTCATTTGCCAAAATTGGTCTAGCGGACGAGCGGTGCTAGTACCTGCTAAGATAAGGCTGAATTTGGCAGATGACATACCCTATACGAAAAGAGAGGGTGGGTGGGCGGGGCTAGTACCTGTTAAGATTAAACTGATTTTGGCAAATGAGATATCCTCTAGGAAAAAAGAAGCCCGGTGGGCTTTGGCTTTTCGTAGAGGGTACCTCATTTGCCAAAATCAGCCTTATTTTAACAGCTACTATCCCCGCCCACCACCCTCTCTTTTCTTAGAGGCTATATGACTTGCCAAAATCACTCTTATCTTAGCATAAGTCATCCTCTTTTTTCTTAGAGGATATGTCATTTGCCAAAATCAGCCTTATCATAGCAGGTACTACTCCGCCCACCCACCTTCTCTTTTCGTAGTGGGTATCTCATTTGCCAAAATTACTCTTACCTTAGCAGCTATTAGCCCCACCCACCCACCCTCTCTTTTCTTAGTGGATATCTCATTTGCCAAAATTACTCTTATCTTAGCGGGTATTAGCCCCACCCACCCACCCTCTCTTTTCTTAGATGATATCTTATTTGCCAAAATCACTCTTGTCGTAGCAGACACTAGCCCTGCCCACTCAGCTTCTCTTTTCTTAGAGGGTATCTATTTGCCAAAATTGGTCTGGCGGACGAGCGGTGCTAGTACCTGCTAAGATAAGGCTGAATTTGGCAGATGACATACCCTATACGAAAAGAGAGGGTGGGTGGGCGGGGCTAGTACCTGTTAAGATTAAACTGATTTTGGCAAATGAGATACCCTCTAGGAAAAAAGAATCCCGGTGGGCTTTGGCTTTTCTTAGAGAGTATATCATTTGCCAAAATCAGCCTTATCTTAACAGCTACTATCCCAGCCCACCCCCCTCTCTTTTCTTAGAGGCTATATGACTTGCCAAAATCACTTTTATCTTAGCATAAGTCATCCTCGCTTTTCTTAGAGGATATGTCATTTGCAAAAATCAGCCTTATCATAGCAAGTACTAGCCCCGCTCACCCACCCTCTCTTTTCGTAGTGGGTATCTCATTCGCCAAAATTACTCTTATCTTAGCAGGTATTAGCTCCACCCACCCACCCTTTCTTTTTTAGATGATATCTTATTTGCCAAAATCACTCTTGTCGTAGCAGACAGTAGCCCTGCCCACTCAGCCTCTTTTCCCTTTGAGGGTATCTCATTTGCTAAAATTGGTCTAGCGGACGAGCGGTGCTAGTACCTGCTAAGATAAGGCTGAATTTGGCAGATGACATACCCTATACGAAAAGAGAGGGTGGGTGGGCGGGGCTAGTACCTGTTAAGATTAAACTGATTTTGGCAAATGAGATACCCTCTAAGAAAAAAGAAGCCCGGCGGGCTTTGGCTTTTCTTAGAGAGAATATCATTTGCCAAAATCAGCCTTATCTTAACAGCTACTAGCCCCGCCCACCCACCCTCTCTTTTCTTAGAGGCTATATGACTTGTCAAAATCACTCTTATCTTAGCATAAGTCATCCTCTCTTTTCTTAGAGGATATGTCATTTGTCAAAATCAGCCTTATCATAGCAGGTACTACCCCGCCCACCCACCTTCTCTTTTCTTAGAGGGTATCTCATTTGCTAAAATTGGTCTAGCGGACGAGTGGTGCTAGTACCTGCTAAGATAAAGCTGAATTTGGCAGATGGCATACCCTATACGAAAAGAGAGGGTGGGTGGGCGGGGATAGTACCTGTTAAGATTAAACTGATTTTGGCAAATGAGATACCCTCTAAGAAATGAGAGGGTGGGTGGGCGGGGCTAATACCTGCTAACATAAGAATGATTTTAGCAAATGACGTATCCTCCAAGAAATTTCATAAATTATTATAAGAAAAGACACTAGAAGCTCCAAAGCACTTTCAAATTCTTTCCAAACAGGAATACCTAGAACCTCAAGATTGTTTTAAATTTCTCAAAATAAAAAAAAAACGGTGTCCCAAAATTAACTGAAAAACAGGTCAGGTCGGAATTTTCCAAAAATAAAACACCAAAATCCCTCAAAATTGTTTTAAACAGTTTACAAAAAAAATCTACATGGACTCCCAAATTAATACACGTACCCACGGTGTAAAATAAAACACCGGAGGACCTAAAATTAACTGCGAAAATTTTAAACGTAGGGGAATCTTATCAAATTATGAAGGAAGGGGAAGAAATAAAGAGAAT